TTCATCCATCATCATCATCATCATCATCATCATCATCATCATCATCATCATCAACAACAACAACAACAACACACTCTTCCACCAACCACCACTCACTTGTGGTGAGTTAAGTTCATCTCGCAGTGCTTGACACTGGTTCAGCGACTGCAACGCTATCTCATGCGCTTCCTTGGACCCCCAACTTCCTCCACCTGCCAGTCGCATCAGCCGGAGGAGGGGGAGGAGGGCGCAGCTACCTCCTATCCTACACAACGTGCCGAAGTTCAATCCCATCCAGTAGAGCGAAGTGGCATGGTCCTCCTTCGCCTCCTCGGATCCGATCTCGGCAAAGAGATCTGCCGCCTCCTTGGCGTACTGCGCCGACCGCACCATCATCTCCTCCGTGTACTCGGGGGAGGACGCGGCCCACTTGTTGAGCAGCTCAGCGCATCTCAGCGACACTTCGGCCACGAGCTTGTGATCTCCCCCCAGCTCCTTGGTGAGCTCGCGAGCCTGAGAGCGCGTGAGAGAAGAAAGCGGAGGGAGGGAGGGAGGGAGGGAGGGAGGGAGGGAGGGAGGGAGGGAGGGAGGGAGGGACTAAGTTCACCTTCTCAAGGATGTTCTCTGCCTCCTTGAATTGCCCTGCATCCCCAAGGAATCGTGCAGTGATGAGACTGCTCTGCCACAACATCTACACCAGGCGATGAGTCCCTCCCTCCCTCCCCCTCCCCTTCTCCCTCCCTCCTCCATGGCTCCCACCTCCCCTCCCTCCCTCCCTCCTCCCTGCATTCTCCAGCTCCCCTCTCGTCCTTCTCACTCTGATTTCCTTCCTCCTCCGTCCAACTCTCATTCACTCCCTCCTTCCCTCCTTTATCCCCGCCCTCCCCCTCGTCCTCAAGTGCTCTCACCTGGGGCGCCATCCCCTCTTGCTCAAACTTCTGCAGCCTCTGCACGTAGCACTTGGAAGCTTCCTGGTACCCGCTGCTCTCCAGGTCTCCTCCTTTCCGCCAGAAGCGGAGGAGATCACCCTTGTCCTTGTCATTGTACAGCTGGTACAGCATATCCAGCGAGCTGGACAGGCATCTCCTCAACCTCGACCACTCCCCAACGCTCTCCAACACGTAGGGCAGCTCGCTCGCCGCCCTCCTCACGTCCTGGTCGCTCCTGCATCTCCATCGTCATCCCCTCGTGCCCACACCCTGTCTAGCATACTTGTGCTTGTGCTCGAAGTACTCCGCCAGCCGCAGCTGAGCCTTCCGCACGTCCTCAGGGTTGCCCAGGTACCTTCGCTCCACTGCGAGGCGGAAGGCGGAGTAGACGAACCCAACGAGGCCTTCGCTTCTCACCGCCAGGTCAGCGTTGAGCGCCTCCTTCAGCTCGGCCCACTGCTCGCCCTTGCCGCTGCAAGAACTCCCGTCAGGCTTCCAGGCTGCTTCATCGCCCTCATTCACCTCTCTGAGATGTTGAGGATCTCTTCCAGCTCCTGCAGTGAGAGGCCCTGCCGAGAGATGCAGAGGAGACTGAGGCTGTCCCTCACCAGCTCCAGCCCCATCTTCGCCTCCCACCTCTGCAGCATCTTTGCGTAGAGGGTCTCCTGAGCCAACGAAACACGGAGGGGTAAGGGGTTCGGAAGCAAAAAGACGAGAAGGTCAAGAGCGTTGACGGGGTAGTCAGGGATGTTCAACGGATGGAGTTCGGACGGGACTCGCGCACGTCGAGTGGAGGAGAGGAATGCAGAGGAGGAGAGAGGGGACAGACCTGCATGAGCACCAATCTGAAGTACTTGAACTCCTGGTCCGGCATCCTTGCGATGTTGTACTTGAGGGTCTTGGATGAGCTCGACTGCTCCAGAGCAGCCACTTGATCGGAGATGGCGCCGGGGTTCTGAAGGACCAGACGATCAGCGCAAATCCTTCCCGAGTTGATTCACAATCACAATCCGCGGCATACCTGGGACGGGACCACCAGCTCTCCACCGAACACCGAGAGGTCCTGAGAGGAAGGGAAAATCACCGTGTTTGACCCGGCATCACATGCTGACTCACGTCATCTTGACTTTGGATGATACTCAGGCCGTCTCGGTTGTCTTTGTTTGAAAAGGCTCCAGCCAAACCCCCGAATTCTCCACTCTCCGTTTCCTTCTTGACCTGCCACAGTTGGGAATCAGCCAGGTGCACATTGAAACGAAAAGGGAGGGGAAAGGGGGGGGGGGGAGGAGGTGGGAGAACTCACAGGCACAAGTTGTTGCTTTTGTGCGTGTTGCTCTTTGAGATGCTGTATCGCCTCCTCCAGGACCGTGTTCATTGTTAGACTCTCCTGTTCCATTCATTCAGTCCGAGACATCTCATACCTCCCCTTCAAGAAGGGAGGGTAACCATGTCAGCGTTCCAGGGAACTCACCTCTACATTCTCAACAGTCGGGATCAAAGCTTGAAGCTCTGACATTAACTCCTTTGTCTTCTCTCTCCTCTTGCGCTCCAACACTTTATGCTTCTCCATCCTCTCAATGGTGGCGGCCAGCGATCGCTTCGGTCCTCGCTTTGCGGGCTTTTCTTCGACTTTCTCTGAGACATCAAGCTCAAAAATTTCGAAATCAAAAGTCGCCGGCTCGACCTGCGGCAGGAGCTTCTCTCTTGCTACTGTGAGACGTCACTGCTGCGCTCTGCACCTTGGCTGGCTGTGAAGGAAGCGACTTGCTTTTGTCCATGCTGGGAAAGGGATCTTTATATCCCATGCCGTCGTTTCCACTGTCGGCAGCATGCAGGGCTTTTGTCGGCTGCACAAAGCCACTATTCCTGATTCACATCAACGATAAGTCAGAGGTCATCCTAGCATCGTACAAGCAAAGAGCAAAGGGAAAAGATCGTTACATGGCGGGTTGCATTGGTGGATAACTCTGAAAGTCCTGTGCTGGCATCAACATGGGGTTGTTGACGTTGTTGTTCATGCTCAAGTCATTGCTGTACGGCTGACCGTACGGCATGGAGATGTTCTGAGGAATCGCATTGCCGCCACCAAACGGGCCTTGAGGGAAAGCGTTGAAGCCCGCGCTCTCGCCGTATGGGGCCATGGGGACCTCATTGACCATGTAAGGCTGAGACATGATGCCGGGAGCTCTGGGGAAGTTGGAGAAGGTTGATTGTGAGGACTGAATGTTATATTGGTTGTAGGGCTTGTTCGCGACATACGCGTCTGAAGTTAGGCCCTGCCCGAACCCTTGCAGGATGTCCACGTCTTGTCCTCCATTGAAAATCGATTCCGGCCCGTCCTGCGATGCCTCATACCTGAGCACGAGGTTGTGAGGATCGGACGCGACTAGAGCATTGCTTTACCATTCCATACTGAGCGTCAGGCAATTCAGCAATGCAGAAGATCTCGAAAATCTGCACAACTTTGCCAAGAATACTTTCTAAACCAGAGAAGACTTGATTTCTCTGCTGAGGTACAAGCCGAGACGCAATCTCATCGAGTTTGATCTGAAGAGAGAAAATGAAAGAATGTCAGTCAGAGTCAAAGATGCGCATGACGCGGTCGATCTACTTGAGCCCAAGCATGCGAAATGGCACTATAGGACACCAGGGTCATAAGGAGTTGATGCATGCTGGCTACCATTAGTGGATGGAGCAAGAAAAGCAGATGAAGAAAGAGAATCTCATTGGGGAAGGTTGAAGGACTCAGGGACATGAAGCGATCGCAATCCGAAGGAGAGCTTCATGGCGAGCAACCAACGAGCAGGTCGGTGGAGCGCAAGGATAAGGTTAGGAAGCAGCGAGGGGAAACCCAGAAAAGGAGGATACGCAGGCATAGTAAGGAGAAGGAAGGTGTGTAGGGATGGAGTTGGAGCTAGTGGGGGGAGGGAGGACTGGTGGATGGAAAGGGGGGGA